AATTGGTGGACAGACATTGATTTAACATATGACTGTAACAGATAAATTTTTCAGTTCTATCATTTTTGTTCAGATCTGTTCAGTGAGATTTTTTTCTTTTGTAATTATTGAAAAGCAATGTCTGACTTTGACATCATGGGCCTTCTTTCATCAAGCAAGATGTGGAAACAATTTTGTCCATGTGTTAACACATATATATATATATATATATATATATATACATATATATATATATATATATATATATATATATACATATATATATATATATATATATATACATATATATATATATATATATATATATATATATATATATATATATGTGTATACATACAATATTGAATTTTTTGCTAACCACTATATTCAGAAGTTTTCCGACAGGAAATTGGGTTAAGAGAGGACAGAACATAAAGCCAAGGTTCGAGGGTTGGGACTCAAAGCCAGGACAGTAGCAATGAAGCCCGAGGCCTTGTTACATTAGTTTCATATTCTACTCAACCATCACGACAACGCTATCTTGTTATTTTATGATGCAAAGGTTGTATAGTGTGTAATGCTAACATCCTGTAACATTTTGAAAGTGTAGGCTGGGTGTTGTGCTTTTAACTCACTAAGAGATACCATCTAATTAAAATAATTGACCATGTGAAGGGGATGCCTGGTTTACACAGCAGGAGAGTTGTGAACACATTTGCCCTGATCTTCCTCTTCCTTCAATCCATCGGACATAACATTGTGAGGGCTCTAAAGATGAGATCCACCTGCTGGGTGTGCTGTGTGAAGACTGATCCAGGACTCTGGGATCGCTCCGACTTCAAATTGATATTCAACATGTTGAATTGTATTGGCCTGGTGTATGGGGGGTGTTTTGAGAAGAAACAAGTATTCTAATTTTTTCATGTTAAAATTTGTCCACACTATTGTAATTGTTCTTTCTGAACTCAAGAGTTTTTAAGATTTTTATCTTATATTCGAATGCCTTATGAATTACATCTGTTATGTGTTGTGCTTGCTGTGTGCCTTTACACTACACCACCATGACGTAGAGTCATTGCCTACAGTGGCAAGGATAATGCTATGACTCAAAAAGAGAGAAAACTAAAAATTTCTCCACTTGACTCTTAAATAAATTTGTTTTCTGTTAAGAGTTTAATATTTCAAATGGTCACATGGCTGAATTTATGGATTGCCGATTCAAGTTAGGCTGGAAAGTCAAGGCAGTGATTAGCTGTGCCTCACCTCTTGTGGCTAATGGCACAAGCATTTGAATAGTGACAAAGTCCTTTCAGGAACTAAGCCAGAGTAAAATAATGGTTTATTTAGTATAACACAAAATAACATCTTCTATTTAATAATATTAAATTGAGGTTCTGAAGGATCCAAAGACAGATGCAGTAATTTTAGACGAAGATAATCTCAGGGTGAGAACTTATTTGACGGCATCTGGGAAGCCTCTGATTTACCGTGTATCTCCAATAACACAGAAAAGGTTGTTGCTAGTCTCTTTGTGGATGAACAACCACTAGATGGGTTTTAGTATTTGCTAAATATAGTCAGCAGGACTGGGAGGGTTTGCTGAATTACACACAAACTCTAGTTCACTTTCTCAGTGTTGTAAGATAACTGATACTTTGGCTCAAAATATATTTCCCCTTTGTTAAAGTCCACACAATACAGTCACAGAGAACAGAGTTTCTTTGCTCTGTGCTCCCACAAGTCTGTCTGTCTGTGTGTCTGAGACCTGACCGCTGACAGAGTGGGTCATGTCACACAGAAGCTGCATAGAACAGAACAGTGTAATTTACTGTAAAAGGATACGGTGAAAGTTGAAAACACTAAAAAACCCAAAGTTTGTTGCCATTAATCATGTATGAAAAACCTCTATAATTAGAGTTTTGCAAATAATTTCTCCACCCCTGTGCTACACAGAGGACAACAGGGGAGGCCAAAAACCTATTGTCTGCATTGCTTTTTACATTTTTTTCTTAAGAGAAATCTAAACTAATATAAAAATGTTATAAATCAACTGCAAAGCCCAGCATTTATGCTGACACATTATAATTCTAAAATGAACAAAAGTTATTATTAACCAATGCTCCTTTTTTCAAATCGTGGGATAAGGTAAAAAGAAGCAAAACATGTCAAATAGATGTAGTAAGATAGAAATAAGGCAATATTCACTCATCATTCTCTGGACTATATACACACACGTCAACATGATTTGTCTTCAATGTGGCATAGGCAGATTCAGCTTTTAAATTTCTGAAGAGAAAAAAATCTTTATCGATCTGCGTCATGACATGCAGCAGTTTACAGTGCATCCTCATGATTGCCCTTATACATATTGGGTTGGAAGTATGATAACATAAACCCCCCCAAATTACCCTGGGACCCAAGATCAAAAAGGGAAGGCCAAATTCCCAAACCATAGCTGTTCTAGCTTTGTGTGAAATACAACCAGACAAAACCTAAACATCATGATAAAAGCAAAGGAAATTACTTTCCTTATTTTAGGTCTGATTGATTGTCCCCTTGACCTGTTAGACTGAAGAGGTGGTTAAAAAGAAGAGGCAGACTTAGATAATTGGGCCCGGTGGTATCCAAAGCCCGGCAGGTGTTGAAAAAAGTCTCATAATACAGGTACCAGCAGCGGCTGCAACCCTGAACTTCAGCACACCTATGATTTGTCTACCTTCGAGGAATTTTTGCGTTTTATGTTTAGCGTTTCTTTTATTGAATAGATTAAATATGAGCTACTTGTAACGCCTATTGACGTATTGGACATGCCACAAGAAAAAAGGCATACAGGTGTCAAGAATCCTCAGAGATGTCAACAAATAAATAGAGCATTTTTGTTTCATCTTTTCTTGGCATGGAGAATAATGTCATTCTGCCTTTGAAAGTGATGTCAGTTGTTAGAAGAATCTAGCCAATACATAAGGGAAATAATTCCCTTACCTGTACAAAAGTGGGTAAAAAGCTCAGGCTGTCAGGAGAAGGATCACAGACTGAATTTAGTTGAACAAAAAAAGCGCAGATGTTTTCCCTCTTTAATTTTATTAGTGAATCATAGGGCTATCCAAACCTTCTAGCCATTTTAAATTAACAGGTAAAAGCCAGGCATGAGCTTTAATGATAACATTTTTTCTTAGAAAAATACGCATGTTCTATCCTTACCATTATCTGAAAGCCAAAGGCTCTGTTCCAATTAGAGAATACCACGGATGGACCATTCAACAAGCATGCACACAAACGAACCTACAATAGGTACAGTAAAGTACCCAGTATTAGAGAGCCTAGAGAAGAGCTTTTTACTTAAAAAACTATTTAATCAGGAAAATCAACGCTTCACATCAAAGAAATGGAGATGAGGGACAGGCGGATAAAGAGGCTCAAAAAAGAAGGAGATCTAGTTAGGGATTCAACGCCCTAATTCACTTTCTCTTAAAACCTTCGTCAGAGGGGGCACAGGGCCAATTTGCTCCCTAAATGGCTGCGTGTGAATGTGCAGATTGCTTTGCATAGCCGCTGGGAATGTGGGCTTCCTCCTCTTTTTCTTCTCCACATAGAGCCTGAGAATTAGAAAAGATCCAAAGACAGATAGGCTTAACTGAGCCACAGCTACCTTCTTTGAGTCCAGAGCCCTGTTCAAACTTTCCACTAATTTAATACATGTCCTAACTCAATTAATAGACTTTAATGCGTTGCTTCTTCCTTATTACTTTTCTTTACTGGGGACTGGGGGCTTCAATTAAGAATTTTAGAGAAGTGTCAGCAAAAAAAGGGTTTGGACTGAATGTTAAGACAATGACAAGTCCCAGAGGCATTAAGGTTTATCATACAGTATGTGCATCCTTAATCTTAAATCTCAACCTTATCTCAATTTCTGGGAATTGTTCAACATTAGTTTAATGTAGTGAATAAAATATTGACCACCAGTGTTTCTGTCTGAGGTTTATACGTATGAGTATTGCATTAATTAGTCAAAATGGCCTTGATATACAAAAGAACTTCTAAGAATCCCTGTTTTCAACAGAATGTCAACTCAATCATCTTCTAGGTATGTATCAACCTCTTCAAGGTTTAGGTTTCCTTTTACTACATCACAGGGCTCTGTCATTACTTCTATAGGTGCTTTAAACCATACAATTGATTAATTATGGCCTTGAATTACCACAAAGGACATTGCCCATAGAGACCTGGAGAGGTTCTAGGACAAAGAAAGATCACATTGTTCCGTATCATATAAATTATTCAAAAAAGATCAAGTCAGCAAACCAACCCAGTGTTCTTCAGGGCCTCATCAGGTCAGATATTGCACGCTTTATTCTCCAAACCAAAAACCTTACTTGAGTGAAAATTGTGCCAAAAGAACTGAAATCAACTCTTCTTGCTCTCCATTGCGTCTGCAGTTCTGATTGATCATCTTGGCAATCAGCAATTAAGCACTGGTGATCACAGCAAGGAAAAAATGGGGGGTGGGGGTGGGTAACAACCGCCCCGACCCCCCTACATCCCCAGTATCCCGCTCCTCTCTTGTAAGCCCAGGAAAGGCTTCACTCAGCTGGGTAGAGTTTGGCCTGGGGCTGGGCTCACTGGTGGAGGTTAACTCCGGCATAAATAAGCATCTTTGGACTCATTACAGGGATTAGGGAGTAATTCGCCTGCGAGGAAAGAGACGACTGCCAGGGTTTTGGTACAGTTTACTACAGTCTTATAGGGGCGAGGGCCCTTGAGATTACAGAAGGAGAGAGATGGAAAGGCAGCAAAAGAGAGAAAGGCCAAGGGAAAAGAGAGGATGGCTGTCAAGTGTGTGTGAGTCAATCCAAGCCCCCGGCTGCCCCCTTGATCTTGAGCATGTTGGGGTGCTGTGAAAACGGATAATGGGAGTTAGAACGACCAGGCCTGTCTAGAGAGAAGTGTACTGATTGTTATAACTTTCCCTCATCTCTCACTCTCTCTCACTCCTCCACTTAACTAAATAAACACCCAAGAGGTAGTGCTCTATCAATTTTAATGATGTTGAAATACAATTTAGGCACAAAATACACAACAAATGCTAATTTGGCCATGATGAGAGGCATCAGAAATTCTTCCCATTATTTATTCAGCTGACTTTCTGCATTTTTCATCAGAACAAATATTTCCATTTCAACAAACACACACACACATCCACGCGCCCCATCACAGAGCCAATTTGGAGCATAAATCAACACATTCACTCATCAAATATATGCTCTGTGTCGTACTCTGCAGTCTGTCCAGTGCACCAAAGACAAATAATTCTACCCAAAGTCCAGCCAAAGAAACAGAGGGCACAGAAGACTGTCAATATATGCACACACATTAAACATAAAAGATGACTGTGTGCTCAGAAAAGACATAATAAAAGTTCTATCATGAAGTCATACATGGCTAAATATTTGAAAAAAAGAGCAAATAGTGAGAACTGACAGCTTATTTGTTTAGAATTTACTGTCTCCACCCATTTGTGTTTCCATTTCTGTTTCCCGTTTAAAGGGATCATTCAATCATTTTTAAAACCATGTGTTGAAAGGTTGACAGTAATAAAAAAATACCAGCATAACTACATTTCATAACATCCCAATTTGTATAAATCTAAATAAGATGGATTTTGGATGTGAAGAAAATGGTTCATCTGATAGAGGCCGATATCAAAGTAGACTTCTGTTGACTTGAAGTGAATCCATTCTCTAAATACGAAGCAGGTTAAGGATCTTTATATATATCTAACTCTTAGTAAGAACCAATTATCTTAGTGTTTCCAATCAAAGTAACTGATATAAAAGACACATACAAATCCATTAGTTTGTATTTCTTTCTTATTTAAGCCACTTCGGTATCTCTGGCGGCAATCCAGTCTTAAATGTAAACCAAACCGATGTTTGGTTTGAGCCTTTTATGAAGTGTTGCCAAAGAAGGCTATGCGGTTTCTACTTAGGCTGTATTAAGCTAATAGAGGTCTACTTTGGTCAAAGCCTTTAGCCACAGGGCCCAATTAATGTGTATTTTTTTGGAAGATGACGATGGTTAGAGTTATCTGCAGAACATAAGATATGGCCAATCTAACACATTTTAACAATATGTCATTGAAACGTTCCTTAAGTATCCATTTCATTCACGAGAGGTTTTAAAGAATTCCCGTTTAGCTGGATGAAACCGTCACCTGCCTCCAACCTGCATCTTGATCTCGAACATCTTAGGTGTCCCTGCTTCTGCCCCACATTGTGGACATGAAAGGTAAGGGTCTGCAATGCTGTGGCTTTTTATGCAGTAGTAGCAAAAAACATGCCCGCATCCCACTGTATGAGGCATTGTTGGCCATTCTCCACATAGTCCACAGTATTTCCACACATCTTGTGGCATCCTTGCTCCTTCTTCATTGGAACTTTTTCCCCCAAGCACATGTAATAAAACAGTACTTTTGAGTTTCCTTAAATTGACCAGTGGTAACAGGAAGATGAGGAACTCCGCAAAGCCATGCCAAAGCAGTTCCCTGTTCATGTACTGGTAATTTACATCTCGAACCACATTGGGTTTACTGAAAACTGTCTGGGCTCCTGCGATTCTTTCAGCTAGGACAGGGTGACGGCCGTTCCTTAGGAAAACAAGGAAGTTTACAAGGGTTGCAAACTTTGCCAGACCAGAAACGAGAACCAGGGCTTTTCGAAGACCTCGCTGGAGCAATCCATCATCCATTTCTGACAAAGCCCCTCTTGCGCTTAAACCGAAATATGAAATGAGCCTGTAGGAACGCTCCTGCAGCCAACGAGGGACGAGAGTAAGTAAGGCAAGACCTAACTTCTGACGAGAAGACAGTGGCTTGTAGTGTGAAGATACTGTTGTGCTTTGATAGCGCAGACTCAGTAAAGACTGACCTACTGTGGCACTGCTAGAATAAAGAGTGAACCTCCATAGCAGCAGATAGAGTAGAGCTTTCAGTTCAGGCTCCACCGGAGTGAGCACCCCTGGGGGGCAGTTCTGGAAACACTGGGTAAACTGGGTCCACAGCAATTGCTCAAGGGCCGAGTCCAGCTCATGGGCATCCAGCTGGCTGATGCGCAAAACTGGTGTCTGTAGGTTGACTGCCGAATCTGAATCACAATTTCCAGCTGTCCTGTGGTTGTGGTCTCTGGTCAAACCTGCTAAAGAAAGTAGCAAAAAATAGACTTTAGTTAAAAACTACTAAGGTTTTCAGGATATAGTTTGAACTAGTTCAAATATTCTGAAAACAGACAAATGCTGACTGTGTGAATTTTCAAAGAGATATTGTCACTATGTTTAACCTTATGCACCAGTTCAACGATATATTGTTACAAAATGTTACGCATAAAGAACAAAAAATTTAAAAAAAACTAACATCTAGCTTAAAGATACAAAAAAACAGGACACAGACAGTTTGCTCTAGTTTTTAAGTAACAGTTTCAAAAATTGAACAAATAAAGAGGTGGATTTCTCTTAAAGTTCTGACACATTTATTGTAGATTTTGGTGTAGTCCGTTTGAAAGCAAAAGGAAGCCAACAAGTAGTGAAGAAAGGAAACAACATTCAGCATATTTACCTCCCAGACTTTATTGCCTATATACAACTGAACTACATATTTTCCCATACTTTTTTCTTTGTCAAATAAATATACTATGGCAATATCTCGCAACTAAAGATCCAGTGAACATGTGTCATATGGTAATTATCACAGACTCCAATAACTGATCCATACAAGTTATGAGCAATATATAGAAGCACTTCAAATAATAAACAAGTTTGTCATAAGGAGTAAAGAGGCCCTGGAGGTGAAACCCATCCTGTTAGAAAGGTTATTTTTCTTAACACAGAAAAGGAAATCACTTTTCACATGTAAAACCCATCCTTAATGCAAGCTTTGAGCTATGGCATACGGTGGAGCAGGGGGTCTTAGAATGCTTTCCCCACTGTACAAACACACACCACACTGCACACACAAACACACAGAAGGCAAAGCCAAGGGGCCATTGGTGCCTGCTCCCTCTGGAGATAGGAGTGTGTGTACAAATCACATCACCAGGGATTAGGCTAACGGCACAGTCTCTGGTACACCGTGAACATCTGCCAAATGTGGAACAATTCCATCCAACCCCCCACCTCCCAAGATTCGGCTCCATATGGGATCTCACCATTGTAGTGTCTAGGCCACTTTGCCCTGCATACATTTGCAAAAACTGTTAAGTTCTCCAGTTTTATCTGCCCTTTGCCCAACTGAAATCTCAGAGAAGTGGAAGACTAACTAATACGGGGAAAGACAGGCTAAAAAAGGCCACCAATAGAGTGAGAGAGAGACAGACACACAGAGAGGCCTTTCCTTGACAGTAGCTTTTGTGTCTCCATGAACAGGATTTGTCACGAGGCTTTAAAAGAGATTTCCGCTGGGTAAATATGGCAGTTTTGACAGAAAGAGAGAGGGATGATGGTCACTTTAGATGCTTCTCAAGGAGGTTAAAAAAAGCCAATCCTAACATGCTGGGCCAATTCTGAGGTTGCATTGAGATGCACAGGACTGTTTGTGCATTCAAGACATTTAAATAGAGCCAAGATACCCCATCCAAATAAGTGGGAATTAGCACACCGATGAAAAAAAGTGAATTTCCGCCGACCTAAGCAGGTATGACAAATTTATTGAGCTTCATTTGAAAAGCTGCCATGTTAAGCGACCAGGACCTTGTCTGTGAAGGGAGAGGAGTTAGGATTAAAAAAAGAAAAAAAGAAAAGAAAAATAGAGGTAGTTTGAATGTGTCTCTAACCTATAAACAGGCTCTATTTGTTCAGCCTAATCTGAAAGTTTCCCTTTGATGGAGGAAAATTTAAAGATTATGTGCATGTGTGTCTGCCTATGAATGTATGCCAAGCAAGGCCTTGATCTATGTGGGGTTTTAATGCAACACTAAGTTAATCTATCAGTCTATAGCTGACACACACACACATACATCGACAAATACACACAGTGCCAGGTGGTGGAAATCCCCGTCACAGCAGCAGCACTCTCGGGAGAGCAAACTCAACCGGGTCCAATAGTCTTTTCAAAGCCTTTTATCGAGCAGTTTACAAGTTATGAATGAATATGTTTTATTTGGGGAAACACAGTATTGACAACCACCTATCAATAGTAATGTGACTATTGTCAAGGGTCTGTCAATATTAATGTAATTATGATGTAGAGGGATCAGAGGGAAGCTGAAGTTGAGGGCCAAGTAACATCTCCTGCCCACTGCCATATCAATAGCTGGGATTGTTATTGACAGCTTCCCTTCAGACTTGCAGGACTTGGCAAATACATAACAAGCAGGCACTTCAGTCAATGCCGGGCTGCCTATAAAAATTAAGCATTTGAATTTACATGGCTTTTACCGTGGACAACTGGAAATCCATGTTTCTTATGTAATACTCAAAAGTCACAGTCGATACAAGTGTTTAGGCAGCTCTGACAGGGTGTGTAAAGAGGCCATGCAGTTCCCAGACAAACCTGACAGATCACAGATATAGGAAAATACAATTTTTATTTATAGTTTTTATATATACAGTGGCAGCCTCAGCCATTACCACCCATGATGTAGAAAAAGCCTTAAAATAAATGTATTTTATATACTAGGAATAATACTTGAAACGAAATTTCACACACTTCACATTAAAGGATAGCTACTTTTTAAAATAAATAATATAATTAACTGTACCCTTGCAGCAAATTTATTGTACAACTATTAATACCTATCAGGTACTTGTGATACTTGTGAGATTATGCTACAAGTATAAAAGATTTATTTATTTTAACTGATTTTTTTGGGTGGATATCAATTTAGAAATTGTTTTGGTCATCCCACCAACACACAAATTAAAAGAAGAAATATTTATGGAGGTTGGTGGCGCATGAAAATGAATTTCATTCCTTTTTTTAAAATCAGACGTGTAAAAAGAAAATCACTTTCCTTGGAATGTTAAAAGCTATTTCAATTCAGATCAGAGACGGTTCTCTTCTTGTTTCATTAGCTTGTGCATGCTATTTATACAAAGATAGCTCACTGACTCAAGGCTGACTGCAATAGCTTTGGGACAACTACAACAAAAATATCCAATCTAACATGAAACCCACTGTAACACTGCTCCGAGGCAAAAAAGGCTATGACCAGTGTGAGAAAGGAGAAGAGAGGCTACAAAAGCACACAGAACATCAGCCTAAAGCTTTGGAGTAGAAACGGCTTCTCTGAAAGCTATACAATAGACCATAATGCCAGCTACTCTACAAAATGATGCATAGACAAAAAAGAGATGTCAGCTGGCATGTCATGAGACCATAGATGGGAGCTCTGAGCTAAGGTCTACAGATACACCAAGACAAAAAAAAGGACTGAAAGATAACTAGAAAAACTGTGGCGACAAAGCAGGGGGGTTGCAGATAAGCTTAAACCTTCTCTAGGAGTTGACCTTGAGGATGATGGTCACAACAAAGAAGGGGGTACCATTCCTGTAGCACACACAGCTCTGTCACACTGAGGTGTGGGGATCAGGGGAATAGCCTATAGAAAAAGGAAGACCTCACTTTCTTCTTGACCTTGGCTTTGGTGTCTGGGGAGAGCAGGAGGGTGTTTAGCACAGGGGTCTGAAGACTGAGGGGCTGGGAACATGGACAGTGTCTAGGGAACAGCATTTTGCCCCCTTTTTTATTTCAAAGCCACTCATCCTATCATTCCCTGTCGCTGCTAACAGCCTGTCCAAAACATCTCAGTTTGGTTTTCTATGTATTATAACACTTGAATTACTATGCACTTACTGTAGGTGTGGTATTTGCATAATGTATTTGCTGAAATGCTGCATATGTTCACTAGGTTTTCTATGATGCTTTGAGAGAGAATTAAGCTTTACATTGACAAAGCATGCATATTTACACCAATCCATTTTCTTTCTTTTTTATGCATGCAAATTAATTGCTGTAAAAGCTTTGGTAGGAAAATATATTTAAAACAAATCTCTAAGCAAGCCAATTTTCTTTCGTCCTTACGACGTCTCTAGCACCAAGAATGAGTTAGGACCTACAGTATTTGTCAACGCTTGCTAATGTCCACAATATAAACATAGATGAGAATGCCAAATTTTAAACTTCGAAGAGTGATGTCAGACAGCAGGCATTATGGGGGACACTAAGATCACCCAGGCGGTAGGTAGACTAATTGTTATGAGTCTGTTTCATGAAAAATTTATGTGAGTTGATGCACAGAGGGGTCTTTGGGCTGTGTGTGCATCACACACTAATGCTTTATCAAGGCTTCCCCCTCTTTCCCTAATCACCCAAGACTCCTTTGAGCCACTGGATAAAAGCCAAGTTAATGCATGCACAAAAAAATACACCAGCTAGAACAGTACATGCAATGCACAAAAATGTCTTCTCCTTATTTGGGTTTCCTCAAAAGGTTAATTATTTAGAGGAGTTAATTGATTTCATGAGTACGAAGGTTGAGTATGCTAAAACTGTACGAGTAATAAGAACGGCAGTCTGCAGCAAAAAACTTAAAAAGTCATGAAACATTAAACAGCAGAAAAGCACAATGAATGCAGAGGAAAACGCAGAGCACCTAATGAATGCGAGAACTGAATTTGCGTGTTCCTTAAGAATCAATGAGAGAGCAAGTCATGCAAATAAAACATGTAATCCTGTTGAATATTTGACCAGCATGTTTTTTTTTCTCAGCCTGTCTTTATAGATAAAAAAGCTCAGGGATAATAGATGAACATAAAAAAAGAAAATTAAAAAGTTATCTGCTTTTTAAATCTTTCCAGCTATTCACAGGACTGTTAGGTGAAAAAAAATAAAACAGTGAGATGAAGCTGTTGCTTGTCTACAGTAAAAAATGTGGGAGAATGTGAAGGCTACAGTTAACATAGTCAATCAAACTCAAAGTATAGAAGCTACTTTTAAAGGGTCTGATACAATTTCAATTGGAAATGGATTATTTTTCAATAAAAATACTTTGGATTTACAAAATATTTTCATGTAAAATAAATTGTTAGAAGCTAACCACATCTGATTTCTATTGTGTCTGCAAATATTTCAAATACAGAGTGATATTGAAATAACTTACTAAATTAATAATAAATCAGATATTAGTTAAGAATCAAATAATATTTTCTGTGTACATTTAAAATGTGGGAAGGCTTTATTTTTCTTTATTGTACATTATTTTTAATTAAAGAACTAAGTGGGTCCTCTGATAAAGCTGATAACCTTTCCCTTATTAGATTTATTGTTAATGGGTTCAAATTCTATGTGATACATTGATTTTTATGCAAACATTAAAACCTTATAGAAGTTCAACAAGGTTCATATCTGGTCCAACAATTTTAAGTGTTACGTATTGTCAGTACAACAGGATAAGAAAAAAAGAGAAGAAGTGTGTCATTGGTGTAATTCTTGATCAAAATGTTTGTTTAATCTTATGCAAGATTATTTTTGACCTCCTCAAGATTAGCTATTTTTCCTTTGGGTCCAATGCAAGGATTTGAATGTATATTTTTATCACTTTCAACATAGAAACTGTAATTGCAAAGTTTTGCCCTATAGTCATCCTAATAATAGCAAAGCTCCTCTTTAACTACAACTAAAATTCATCTGCTCAAGGCCCTTGATAAACAGAAGGAGAGCATTTAAATATCAATCTTAGGTCTACATGTGCAAGTATGATTTTAATGGCTCTTAAATTCATTAATGGTCTTAATACTATGTCTTTAAGATTGAAATTATATTCAGACCTGCCAAAAAAAAGTTACAAATAAAAAGTAAAAACAAAAGGCCACTGGAATGTCTTATTTTGTTTCCCTTCCTTATCTTTCCAAAGACTTGAAATAAGTTAAGAGCTTTGAAGTATGGTTACAACAGGAAAAAGATTGGGAATGACAGCAACTCAGCTACAAAGTAATCGGCCAGGCAAAATCACATAGGTAAAGAGGATGTGCAAAGTTCTCAAACATTCTGCAGATTCAATATCTGCATATTCTATAAACTCAATGTGGCTCCTAGATTAGCTCAAAAACAGAGAAGAAAGCTTAATGGAATGTGTTTCAATAGCTGAGCAGCTAAAACCAAGCCTTTGATCACCAATTGCAATGCAAGAGGCAGTGGTAAAAAAGTACATCACCACTAATCTGATCCACTTTACTTCTACAGTACATTTAAATAACAAGAAATGTTTCAAAGTGCTGCACGAATTAGGAAAACAAATGTATAGCAGTGAATGAAACACTGTACTACTAACAAAAAAGCAATTAAAAGTAATTATATACAGAGAATCACACAATTCAAGGTTTTTTTTTAAAAGCCAAAGAGTAAAAGTAGGTCTTGGACGTGAAGAGTCTGGAGCCAACTGCAGAGAGAGTCTGTCTCCCCTGATTTTAAGTCTGGTCTTTAGCACCATGAGCTGAAGCTGGTCAACAGAAAAAAAAAAGGAATCTGGAAAAGGTCTGCTATATATTGTGGGATCAGTCCACACAGACCCAAGTTAGGGATCCTGCATATTAAAGTTTGAGTAAAACCAGAAGAAGAAGCAAGATGAAAACGATAATCGCAGAACGGAGAGAAGAAGTGTTTTATAGACCAATGACAGAGGAGCAAAATGTGTAAATGTAATATACACAATGAATTAAACAGCTTCTAAAGTAGATTCTAAAAAAAAAAAGCGCTTCATATCTAAAGTTCACTGTTGTTGCTTGTGATTACACAAACCAACCAGTGTTTAGACATTCGGTGGATGGGCTGACAATACAACGGCAGTGCTGGCTGGCTTTAAATCTATCTACTCTAGGAGCTGGTTTCAAATATAGTCAGTTTTGCAGACACTTCATTGGGAAGCGATCCTCCATCTGATCACAAGAAGTTAGTTGAAAATGCCCAAACCTGCTCCCAAATTAAGATGGGACATGAAGAAATTGAGAACTCTGCAGTGGTGAATCACACCTGTTTACCTGGCATCCCAAAAGATAGGCTTGAGTCTCTCAGCCACTTACCGGTAGTTTGAGTGAAAGGAACTCCAAATATTTTAGTATATCAAGACGTCTTGGAATATTTAATTCTCTAAATTTAGTGAAAACAGTTAAGGGATGACTCTTTCCTGTTCTAAAATGACTCTGTGGCAATGCACAATGCCAGTTCCGTAAAGGCATGGATGAGAAATGTTGGTGTGGAAGAACTTGTCTGACCTGCGCAAAGTCCTGACAACAATCTGAAGGAACACTAGTAAGATGAAGAAAACCTTTGAATTTGAGCCGTTAGTCATTTAACAACAGTATCTGGCCTCAAAATTATGCAAAAACCCAAAGTTGTCTACAGCTGCCTTCATGAAGTCTGGTAAAGATGTTTTCCACTTGTAAAGGGGAAATTTCCATCACATTGAGGTCAAAGTGCTTTTGCTGTGGTGGAGAAGAGGAACACGGTTGATCCACAGATTATCCTGACATGTCACTAGGGCAAGATAGTCATAGGGTCATCTCCTGGTTCCACTAAATCATGTGCTAAAATACAGATCGAATAAGAAAATTGTTTCTGTTAGAACACAGATCACACAGCACTCTACTGACTGCTATCCTTGACAGACTACTAGCTAGCTAGTATCTGATAAAATTGAACATCATAAGTTATTTTAAAATAAACACAAATTAAACTGCGATATTGTGAAACAAAACGACTTCACAACATTGTATAGGCTACAAACACACTAATCAACTCATCAACATACAGAATAGTTTTGGTGCTGTCCTCCAAATATATATATATATATATATACTGTGTATATATATGAGGACACACTGTATACACTGATATATATATAAACTGTATATACATTTGGCACCTTCTTCTTCTTTTTGACTACTGAGCCAATATAACCAAAACATTTCTCCACTGTGAGATCAATAAAGTCAATCAATCAATTAATTAATGTTAAAAGGTTAAAGTTTACGTCGCCTCGGCAACTCAGGTATCATAACATTTTTCCAGCTTTTCAGTGGAAATTACATTAGTTGGTGCTTTGTGCAATTTTTATGTCGTTTTTTGGTTTTACCATTAGTTTTACTATTATTACGATACCACATGAAGGCAGCAATAGTTGCAAAGGATATTTTAATCCTAAGTTTATTTTTTTTATTAATCTTTAATTAAGGTGAAGGCTTTAATCGACTTTGTGGATATATAAAGGTTTTTTTTATATAGATGAAGAGATAATAATATATTGTGTTCTGTAATTATCTTCTGACTTAATTTTAAAAGAGAATAAAAATAAACTGATTTATGGAAAGGTTATTTATATGTCACTGATATTTCCAAACTTGTATTTTTTAGGCTGAAAGCAAGTCTCTGGAAACAACAATCACATACTAGAATCTTAAATGAATTACAATTGTATTCCCCTCATCAAAACTTTGTTAATGGACCTTTAATAACAGAAATACCTTAAATCTGTTCTATTTTGATAATAATGCAGGGGCTTTATGTGCTAATCAGAACACGGGGATTTGATTTATGCAGCAGGTTGTGCAAGCAGTACAGTCAGCACTGGAAAAGAGAGATATAACCAAAAGACAGATAAGGGGAGAGAAGAGATGATGGGGTTGAGAGGAATGAAGTCTCCAAAAGAAAAAAAATCAATAAGATCAACTTTGCCTTGAATCTCAGTGCGGAAGGTTTTGATCTCTAGCCCTGATTATTTTGTGGAATAATGGAATTATGTGCGTGGATGCAGAACATAATCTTAAAGAAGCTCAAAGTCTTTCAAGGTTACTAATCAAAGTTTCATTAGGTTTACATACACCTGCACCACACACACATTGATTAATAATTCCCAGTATATTTGATCGTTCGAGCTGTATGCTGCATGTATTAAGCATGCCGATAGACACACGCAATCAATTTAATTTTAAATGCAAAGACGAAGCAAATGAAAAAGTAGAACACATGTAGAGAAAAAACACTGCAGAACCGCAATGTTGAAGTAGAAGCTGCGTTTTAACCCAAAACTAAACGACGCAGATGTGCCATTATTCGGATTAAAAGGGAAGTAGCTTCCAAGGAACTCTGATAAATGCTTTCTTACCCATTTCTTATCGGTGAAAGCTAAATTCAACCGATCGGCCCCTGATCTGTTGAAGACAGCTTGTTTTTCCGGTTTCTGCAGCTAAGCCCCGCCCCTTAAAGGAACATGACCATTAGTATAAAAGAACAATGTGATTGACAAGGTCAGGAAGGAAATCAACCAATAGCAAGACGAAGCACCCAGAGAGTCACATACCCACTTAAACAGATGGAAGTGGACTTGGTTGCTCCTTAAAAAATACTTAATAAACAATATAGTAAGAGGAATTTCTAATAAAATTATTCATGATGTTTATCCTGCTAAAGCATTTTCGATAAAAAGATATAATTGGGATTTGGACCCAATGTGTACTTTTTGTAAAAATAATGTAGAAAAGCTTATTCATCTTTTGTGGGGGGATTCTAATTATAACAAAATATTCTAGAGAGATATGTCAATTTTTTTTCCATAAAAAAAATCTTAACATTACTTAAACAGGTAAGGATGTTTGGGATGGAGAAATGTGAACTTGTCAAAATAGAATTTTTATATGTTATAAATGTTTTTTTATTTATGGTAAATATCATATTCACACCTCCAAATATTTACAACAAAAAGCTAATTTCCAGATTTTATTATCTACTATTAATATAGAATCCTTAAAATTTAGTTAAAATGCTAAAGCCATGCAAATTCTAAAGAATTATAACCCTCGAGCATAGATTTGATTTTGACCTTTTAAAATAATAGTTTTGTTCTGTAAAGCCCTTTGTTGTTGTATATGTTTGTAATTATTAATGTTCTATATTGGTCATGAATGTTCTTTTTTTGCAATAAAAGCAAAACAAAAAAACAGATGGAAAGTTATCAATATTTGTTCCATTCTGTGCTTAAATTATGTCTAACAACCAAAAGAGCGGTAACTCAACATTAATTTGCATAAAGCAGCACATTAAATAATGATTTACCCCTCATGTTAAGTTTAAATATATTTAATTATCAAACAAACATTAATTAAGTAAAAATAATAATAACAATGATGTGACAGCCTGTAACTTTTCAAAACCTGCATGTGGAATGCAGGCAGAAATCTAGAGATACGTCACTTAGACTGAATTGCCTGCCTGCCAATTTATAATTTTCGAATTTATCAGGTGGATAGACAAGCCGAAAACTTTACTAAAGTCAGTAAAGCATTTCTTTAAAGTATGTATACTGAAGTACATTTAAAAGTAAAAAGTAGCCATGGAAGAAATTACTCAAGCAATTCCGAATATGGATTTCATAAAAAATACTTTTTAAGCACTGGTTATCTTACGATGATATTGCATTTAAGATATATGACTTAACATTAAAAATATATTTTACCAAGCAATATCAGACCAGTATCAGAGGTTGACTGCAAATTCTGGTAAGTCAAAAATGGTAAAGAATGAAAAGATTAAGCCCACACATGTGCCCCATGGTCAGGAAATGTTTCCTCTAAATGTAACACATCCTTTAATGAACAAAGTGTTTCCACACCGAGTAGTGGGAGATGAGAAATCTGGCAAAGGATCTTGCTCAGGGAATCAAAGTAAGTGCCCTGTTCTCTAATTAATAGGTGGCCACTTCCAAAAAAAGGTTAGAAGTTGTGCCTCTAAGACACTTAAGCCAGTGGTTCATAAGCACTAGTCTTAGAAAAAACCTTAAATCTGAGTTAAAATGGCAAAAGATGTAGTCTCTGATACAAATAAAGGCATACTATTTTCCTTTGAACTATTTTCTTAGTCAATGCTTATGTATTTTGCTCTAATTTTTGCTTCCCTTTGTCTTGTTTTTATATTGCAAAGGTCTGATTCAAATATAAAAAGCTTAAATTCCATCCTCATTGTGTAAGTATAAATTATCTTATGATGATTGGGTTAACCCCGGGTTTTAACTGGGTACATTCTGCATTTCTATTCTTTCGGATATCTAACTGAATTTGCTGACTGAATTAGCAAGTGTGCAAAATGTATCTTAAACACATACATCACGCTGATATATTAGTGTATCAATGTTATGTGTAGTTTTGACATACTTTGATTAGGTTATAATCCATCCATTTTCAGTCAGAGTATCATGTCCACCCCTGACTTAAGCACCAGAGGATGACCTCTGTCCTGTCAGACAAATGACAGGAGGAAGCACAGCGCTGCTTTCATAAAGCCGCAGCACTTGTAACAGGTGGCAAATTTCGTTATGTTTCCATCTGAGCAACAGAGATCAGGAGCACTGTTCCACACCCATATTTAAAAAAGAAGGGTTTCTAATCATCAGGATTGTCATGTGAGATCATTTAGTTGCCGAATGTAGCCTGTGTGAGCTGGACTGTGCATCAAAGCAAAAATAACAAGGTTTCAGAGATGGCTTTCGGTCAGCTGGCCCCAGTCGAAGGCCCACCTAACAAGGTTATGTGTTTAGAACCCAGGAGCGCTCAGGTCTTATAGGTTGATGTGGTCAGTTAATCATAAGGTTTGTCCTCTGAAAGTATAACACTGATCCTTTGTTCAACTCATTGAAGGGATTCATTTCAGGAAATATGATGTTCCTGAAATATTTGAGTAAATCGCTAATAAGAAATTCAGATCATGTTTATTCAGTTGTTTTTTGTTTTGTTTTTTTTACTTAAACATAATAATACTTTTAGCAGTTTTCACAAACAATGTATCCAGAACTAAAAAAAATAAATAAATTAGAATAATGGTTTCTTAAACCTCATGTTATACAAAGGTACTCTTAGAGTTGCCATTTGTGTTTTTAGCGTTGTATTTTTTACATATTTTTTTTCTTTCCTTTTTTTTTTACTATAGGTTTTTTTTTATATGCCCTACAAAATGTTTCAGTAATAAATCTGTGCCTTTGTATTTCAGTAAAGCTCTAATCATTGTCATGGTATGCTGCTGATTTATAGCCATGCAAAATCACCAAATGGAAAAAGGACATAGAACTGTTTTTGAAAGAAAAAAAGTGTATGAAAAAAATTAGTATTTCAAATATATTTTGGAAACCATACTTTATATTATAGTATAGTACGATATAATAGTTGTAATATCAACTTCCTTTGAGACAGTAATAAAAACAGTGTCTTAAATAGTTTTTAATAGTATTTGCTGGGAGAACAGTGTCTACTTTCTAACTCCTCGCAAACCTCTACAGTGATATCTGCACGGAGCTTTTTGAAAAAGTGTGTGCGTGGGGGTGTGTGGTTTGGGGCTGTTGTTTATGGAGCCTTTCTCCATCATTGGGTTTCCTAATGACTTTATACAAATATTGTAATGCCCTCCAAACGAAGTATGTCATAACCAAATCACATCAGCAAATATTACACTTGCATGGCAATTGTCTAAGTAGATACATTTAATAAAGTCCAAGATGTTTTTCTGCAGTATTATTACTATACATGGTAATAATGCAATACTGATAAACTTGGAGTATGTGGAGCAGCCGTAATTGAAATTACCTTGAAAAGGATTTACATAGCTTTGTTCTTAATCATGTTTATCGACCTGTTAAAGAGGTATCAGAGTTTTCTAATGATACTACCACCTGTGGCCAAAACACAGAACTACAGTACTCTACTGCTAATTATCAGTAGTGCTCATACTTAAAGTACTTTTTTGGTTGTTTTTTTTTTACTTTTTCACCTTATATAGCATTGCCATTGGTGTCTGAGTTGAGCTGGATTCTGGTTGCTTCTGAGTATCCACAAAATCCATCTTCAATAAAACCCTTCGATTGTTTACTAGGTTGGGCCCATTTAACATCGACACACTTGACGTCACATCTGCAGAACAGCGCAGGAACTTCCGACCCCAAGTATTTCAGGGGAAATAGGCTACAGGGTCGTAGATGCATTGGCACTGAACTAAAAGATGACTGTAAATATATTTTTCACCAAAAACATACAAAATGTCTCTTTAAACTTAATTGCATTTTTAAGTCTTTAATGGTATTTGCTGATCAGTATCTCTAGTTTCTGAAAATATAAATCTGTCCATTCTTCCTGATAGGCTTTGAGAACCTGTAGATATTTTGCATAAACTGTATGTAAATTGAGCCCAACAGTGGCTCAATATGAACAAGGAGCTTAAGATAAGATGGCTACCTTAGGATATTGACTTGTGTAAAGTGAAAGACCTGAATGACTACATCACTTGCCATTGGCTAGTGATATAGCCAATCAAAAGTAAACTTATTATGTTAGAATAAGAAAGTAAAACGCATCTAAAGTTTCTGAACTAAAAAGTTCATTATATTTTAATAACATACGACCATCATTTTAACTTATTATAGCCATACATAGTGCATTTTGTAGCTAGCCCATGCAATTATTCATGGTACTGGCTTTTTTCAGGTGAACTGGCCCTGTAGCCCATTGTGTTTCAAGTTCCTCCTGATTCTACATACAATTTCTTCCATCTGGGGTTGGAAAGTTGGTTGTTCTGTGAATATTTTAGCTAGCAGGAGTTGATTGGAGGCTTTGTTTGCATCTCAAACAGTTGTGCTTTATTTCTTGTTTTTTACCTGACTCTTAAAGGAGAAAGAACAAATACATTGATGCTGAATAACTCAAGCCTACTACTAACCCTGAAAAAATGATTTTGCAGTGTATTATCATTCGCTTTCTTTAAAAAAATAAATTCTGCAAGGTCATGCGAGGTTACAAACAAGACAGTATGTATTTAACGTTTTAATTTTATGGTTCTAATTGAACAGAAGTCAAACAATTATTTTTTTACTTCAACCTATATTATAATAACGCCTTTATTATTGGAAATGTATGATGTTACCTGCTGTTGTTTTTCTTTCAGAGTACAATTAGAGCCATAGGCGGATCTACTGGGGTGGCATAGGGTGGCAACTGCCACCCTAAATGACAGCCTTGCCACCCCAGCTGCCACCCCAGTTGGCGGTAGGGGTGGCGAGGCTTATAAATTATGGATCATTTGAGAATTGCGACCGCTAATTTCCAATGTCGGACTGCAGTGAATGCAGCACGAGATGACGCGAGAGCGACTGAGACTGATTTGTTTTGAAAACCGAGCGGGGCAAAGCGAGGGAGCCAGGGGTGATGTGGAGAGGAGAC